AATATACAACACTTTAATTTCAAAAATAATCAGACAAACACATACAAATACAAGTAACTTAATGAATACTTACATATTTCAGCAAATATACACATATTTCAAAAGATTATTAAGGATGTTTATTGTGCTAAAACTGTGGTTGTTGATTTCTCAATTGAGTCTTGAAAAGTTAAAGCAAGATTTAACTCAGTGAAAGTGCAAAGCTTTGTAACATTAAGACATGTAATCATAGTAGTCCATGTGTATCCACAATAGAACAATATTTACATTGGCACAATGATGTAAGCAGCAAATATGTTGAATCAAACACTGTGGTATACCTCCATTTGGTGGCTGGGAATGGAACGTGGGTGGTAGTAACAGCACAGAAAGCTTATTCTTCCATGATCAGAACAAGCAGGTAGCAGATTCTATAAGTAGATCATTGAATAGTCTGAACTCAGTAGGGTAAAAACAGGGGTGGAAAAATACAATTTGTTCTCTAATCACTGCATTTAAAACCTATTCTGTCAAATCTTCCCCCATCCCTTTCCAGTTACTTTCACTTAGAAGAAAAAAGTTAATTGTGATTGCTTTCAGGTATTATTTCCAGACTACTCCAATTTAAACCCTCTGAGTCATCTGTAATTCAAACTTTCCCTCCTCCTCCAAGCTCAAGTTGTCCCAGGCCAGGCTCAGAGACTTGCAATGGGGAAGAGGTTGCAGGATCTGTCCTTTCACTCTTCCTTCAACCTTCCCCTCACCCCCATACTTCCTGGGTACTCCAGAGGCATAAGGTGCTTAGGGCAAAAATGGCAAAGTCTCATATCATTGGTGCTTTTGTCATTCAGCCACTGGTATCTTCTGTGTCAGGTATTCACAGAGTGGCTCTTTTGGGAATCACATCAGTGGGTTTTGGAAGCATCTGTGGTGACTTCCAACCCACACCATTGCCTGAAATGAGAAATATACTTACTGGTGTCATCTTGTGACCCAAGCCCCTCCCTTAATCCCCATCCAGCAACACACACTTGTTTTGCTTTTGCATAATCCTCTCCCACACGCCTCCACCCTGCTCAGTTGGACTGGATGCACCTGGTATGCAACAGCCATTCTGATGCTTTCCTTGCATCCTTTCCTTAAACCTGCATGAGAGCTCCTGTTCCTAAGACCATGCTTTCTTATTTCTTCACCTATTTTTTTTTATTTGCCTGAGGCACATACTCAAAAGAGCTTCCTAAGAAAGGGCTTGTAAGAGTTAAATTTTTTTGAGTTCTTCCATGTATGAGAATGTTTCTATTCTAGCCACTTGCTTTATTAATTGGATTCCTCAGTATAAATTTTAAGTTGAAAGTCCTTTTATGTCTGAAACTTAAGTGTGGTGCTTCACCATCTTCTATAGCAGGAAGTCCACAGAAGAACAGACATAGGATTCAAGGTCTGGTTTCCTTGGTTTCAATCTTATATTCTGCTTCCTGCCAGGACTAACTGTATATTTCACAGAGAATTCAGTTTTTTAAATCTTATAAAACTCAAGATTGCCTGACTTGTAAGCATAACAGATTACCAGCCATGAACAGCAACCTATGGTCTTAAGGTCTTCTATTTGCTTCTCTTGTTTTTCCCAACACTTAAAAAAAATATATTGTTAAGTATAGAAATTTTCATTTTTTTACCTGTACCAATGTCTGGAAATTTGAACTTTTAAAGTGTAAGTGACAGAATCTCCTTATAAACTTACTTAAAGTAATAATAATGAATACAAAAGAGTTATTATTAATTCATATAACAGAAAAATCCAAGAATAAGAGAGCCACCTTCAGGAGGAACTAGATCCACAGAGTGTTATCAGTGCTTTACCAGCCTCCCCCCCATATCTATCTCTTAGCCCCTTTACTCTCTGTGTCAGCTCCATTCTCAGGTGGGTTCTCACTATATAGAGACCCTTGGAAGCTCTTGGCTTAGTAATTAACCTTCTCTTTCCAATGATTTCTAAAAGAATCTTGGGCTTAATTCCCTGGTTCAGGTACGGTCACGTGCCAGTCTTCAAACCACTCATTGTAACTCTGTTTGACTGGGTGAAGGCTAGTTCCCATGCCTCAGAGCAAGGCAGTTTAGGGCCAGATTTATTAGAATTATTTTTGCAAAAAAAAAAAAAATGGAGTTGTAATTGCCAAGAAGAGAAAATGCATGCTGAGCAGACAAAACAAACAAACAAACAAAAAACAAAAAAACCCCAACAAAACAGACATCATTATTGCAGTTTGAGGTTATCGAGAAGTTAAGTTAAGCATACTGAAGTGCTTACTTTTAAAAGAAGACTTATCCCAATATTTTTTTTCTCTATTCTTTGCCTTCTGTTCCAGAACAAGAAGATATCAGGGTTTTGTGGGTGTTTTTTTTTTTTTTGGAATATAACTCAAGTGGTCTCTGATGTAAAATGAATCCTCAGAATATATTTGAAAACACTGAACTCATATCATGTTTGTCTTCTCAAAATGTCTGACACGTGGTAGAATATGAAACAATGTATATATTTTAAGTTTTCTTTTCAATAATGTTTCCTGGGCACTAATGATAGAGCCGTGAATGCAATGCCCTGTTATAATCAGTTCTAGGCTGGGTTTTAATAGTTTATAAGGTAATTTTTCTGAAAGAAATTTTAGATCAAATAATTGGCATTCTGATCTCTGCAAGTATGCTTCATTTTTATAGTGATTAAAAAGTCCATTTAGCTGATTTGTAAGCCTTGTAAGAACTTGCTGTTAGAAACTCATCAGAGTTCTTTGGAGAAGGGTCATTTCATATGGGTAAAGAGTAATGAGAGCTTAAATCTTTTTGAAGTTAGTTTTTAGTTTCTGGTGGAAATTACCCAATGTCCAGATATAAATTAACTCCAGTATTACCTCAAGGTTAAGCAAGCTTGTTTTAACATCACCTCCTGATCTCTGGACAAAATGGCTTTACATTTACGTGGATCAGTGTGACTACCACGATATATTGTTGCTCTCACAGTAATCTAAGGGTGGTCTTCTAATAACATCGATTTGTAAAAATATGCTGGAAAATGAAACGTTATGCACTTCAATAACTAACTTTATTTAGTTTTAAGAATTCAACTTCTTAATTCCATAGTCAGGGACTGAGAAAATATTGGACACCATTTCAGAGGGTGCATTACACAATCTATTCCACTTGGCCAGCACCTTAGCTCACAGACTAGCAAACTCTGTTATCTTTTCCTTACTTGTAGAGTTATTTCACCTTAGCCTCTTTGAACTCCAGAACACGGAGTGATGTAACAGAACTCTCGGGAACACTTATTTCCCTCAAGGCCATTAGCATCTCTTTTTTCAAACTCCCCCTTGTTTGGCCTCAGCACCTGTGTGCAGCCCTTCTGCCCCTTTCCTGGTAACCGATTATATTACAAAGAGCCCATTGCTGCTCCTTTGTTGTTGAAACTATTTCTTTCCACTCTCTCCATCTCTCTTTTATTTTTATTATATTAAATATAGTTCTAAATATTAAAAACAACTGGAAACCATCTTTTCCAATGAGATGTTATCAAGGTGAATAGTTATCATCATGCAAGCTGCCTCTCTCTGTCTCCTCCCAGTAACCTCTGCACCAGCCTTTACAGATTGTGACATTTATATGAAGGAAATGAGGAGCCTTTTACATTGACGATGCCCCTTCACACAAAATCTGTTTATCTGTCCAAAGAAAATAAGAGGAAGGAACTCTAGTAGCAAACTTGTTGTGACTCTTACACTCCCAATGCAAAGAACTTCTTCAAGAGGAAGAATTCCTTTTAGGTGAAGGGCAGATCAGGCAGAGATTCTCATCAAGTGTCTGGGGACCCATAAGGACTGTGACTCTCCTGCTTTCAATGCTGTAGCCCTAGTGGCTGCTTTGGGGTTTCTTCAGGCTCTAACACAAAGATTACCAAGATATTGCCTTGATATTGTTTCTTCTTTCAGCATCCTGGGTTTCCCAGCCCTAACACTGACAAGATGCCCTTGCCCCTTTCCTTTTCTATCCAGTATTGCTTTCTTGTGCCTATAGCTCTCAGTCAACATTTTACACTCATTGTCAAAAATCTAACAGGAGCTATTTTCTCTCATTTACAATACCATATTTTCTTATTCTTACTTGTAGGCATTTCCATGACCTTGCTAGTAAATTTGATTGTTTCTCCACTACATGTTGTTATCTATATAAAAAGCAGTATAGAATAGTGGGTTAAGACTACAACCTTTGTAACACACTGCCTAAGATCAAGTCCTATCTCCAGAAATTATCAACTGTGTGACCTTGGAAAAACTACTTAACCTCTCTGTGCTTCAATCTCCCAACCACAAAATAAACGTAGTACTAAATCATAGGTTATTGAAAGGATTTAGAGTCTATAATCCTTGTATAAAACCTCTTGAGATCAGCTATATATTAGAATTAGGACATTTTTATTTTTTAAGGAATTGTGTATATACAATCTATTGTACAATATTCCATGACAGAGTTTGAGCAACATCTCACAGTCAAACACATCAACAATTCTGCAGGGAAAATATACAAATATTCCCACTGAGTTGAATAATAAAGACTAGAAATAGCCACACAGCAATTCAGGTCAAGTTCTGGCATCACATGAGTTCATTTGGAATCAGGTTTTGCTGCCAAATGAGTTATCAAAAACGTTAGGTCTCAGAGCTGGACCCACATGAGCATAGTGTTTAGCTAAGTATTTGGCATGCAGTAAGTTCCCCTAAAATATTGTCTGTTATTACATTATATTCTTGTCCAGTGAAAACACTTATTTAGCATGTTCCATGTGCTATTTATTTTGACATATATTACTGTTTTAAGGAGCTCCGAGATTAAGGTCCAGGACCCTCATTTCTTCTCATCAGGCTCTGACTAATATCTCTTTGTAAGACTGTGAGTGAAACCTTCACAACTTCAGGAGACACGTGCCAGTCAGAAGAGTTTTTCTAACAAAATTCCTTTATTTTCTTCTCTAGGTTAGCTGCAATATTCAGATACAGTCCACATTGATTGCTAATCCTGTGGTGCAGAGGCTCCAAGCAGAACTGGAAATGGCTGCCAATCCCATCCCAGCCCTTCCTCCATAAAGAGCGGTTCATATGCTCTCAAGTTCCTCCACCACACCTGGTCTCTGCTCCTGAGGTGACCCACCTTCTTCTTTTATACTTGAGTTGACAGGCAGTGTGGATATCCAATTGCAACATTTTGCCTCCTAATAGAGCCACTGACATATGGGCAGCCCATATTTTCTACTGGTTATTACAAGGTAGCAAGCATGCAAAAAATTTTATAAGTTATAAGACACACACACTATAGAACACTCCTTGCTCTTGTTTTCTTCCTGACTTAACTTACTTAAATTATCCCTTGGTGCCAGGGCAGATGAAGACAGGATCCCACCCATGGCTAACAGTTTATTGAATCTGTATGTTCACAGATGAAAGGAGCCTTATTCTAAGGCAACTGGCCCAGGCCTTGACCTCATCTATTTTAAACCCAAACTTATTCTATATCCTGCCTAAATGATAGGAGAGGTCATCATAAGTTTCTGCAGGAAGATTTCTGTAAGTAGTTTGATCTCTAGTTTTCATTTTTACTGTTTGATGATTATGGACCAAATATTAAAAATTCTATAATTTTTGGTGTAAGTGGACTGGCCCCTATTTTTCAATTTTTTATTGTTTCAATTTTTTATTGTTAAATATTCACAGATACATATATAATATTTAGATGTAATTGTATATACCCATCTATAGTTTTCTATATTCAATCTGTGATACATATAAACACACATTTTATAGGATATCTATCTACCTATCTACAGATAGATAATAGATAACAGACATTTCCTATAAAAAGGCTGTCTAGATTTTTTTCCCCAAAAACCTTTCATCAGGACACATCTCCTCTATGCACTCACTGAAATGTGAAATTCACTCAGGAGGCCTCTTGATTTCCAGTTGAAAACTCCTAACGTTCTAAACATTTGATATGGTGCCCTTTAGGATTACTGCCAGTTGAACCTAAATTCTGTGGTCATTACTGCACAAAGTATATCAGGCTGTGAAACAAGCTCTTAAAGGAAAGTAGTTTTTCAAGCTGCATTATGGTGCTTTTAAAGGGAATAAAATCCTTAATGAGAAAATGAGTCTCCTGAAACTTTTGGCTCCAAGGTCAGCTCTGTACAATTGCCCTCTTGGTTGGCAGAGAATCTGTTAAGGGACATTTCTGGGAGCCCATTCTGTAAAAGGCCCGGGATGAAATAGGATGGCAGGTGATTCTCTAGAGCTTCAGTTGGGCAACTTTATAATTCTCTGACAGTTTTCCTCTGAAGCTGTTCCCGCATAATACCCGAGTATACCAGCCCTTTTCCCTGCTACATACCAGCCGTGGAAGGAGAAACTGGGTTGCTAAGGAACCTGTTGTAATAACACCTGATGGAACTAACAGTTGTCAGCTAATAACGGTTTAGTGTGAATAAATTTATCAGAATCTTCCCAAGTGAATTAATACATTGTCAGCTTCTGGAAGGTTTGGGTCCTATTTTTATTTACCTTTATTTCTATTCAAATCTAGCACGGCGCTAAATAAATGTTTGAGGAGTGTCAGCTGAGGTCAAACTACTCTAACACATTGCTTTCAGCTGGCTCTTCCAAGTTGGGAGTGAGCAGGAGGAAGGGGCTCTTTCTCTAGTTGCTTTTACTTGTTGCTTGAGTCTATGTTCTACACAGAACAAAGATGTGGCAGCTTTTAAAGGAGACCCTGAGGATGACAGAAGTTACCAGGACCTTGGGTGAATGATGACTGGGTGAGAAGGGAGAAAATAATGCTTCAGATTCAGAATCATTCACCAACTGCTAAGATAGGTATTGTGAATATTGCTGCATAAAAGATAATGGAATAGCTCTAAAAATTACTGTCCATAAGACTTTTGGAGTCTCTATAGGTGGTCTCCATTAGTTAATGGTGTAATTTTGGTGTGGCTGCCCTACCTCTAGGAGAATGATTAAATGGAGTTTTGATAATAGCATGTAGAAATAAGAATTGGCATCATTTTGTTCACTCCAACTTACCACGCACTCACATTTAAGGCTTCTTGGTAAGCTACAATGAATACATCAACATTATGAGAAATGAAGATGACACTATAATGTAATTACATTTAATTTATGGAATGCAGAATAATAACATCCTGTATACTAAGACAAGTAAGAGAAAGGGAAAATCTAATCTGGTTTGCTAAGCCTCTTTCCTTTCCACCTCTTTAGCATTAACCAAGGCTCACTGTAACATGTGTTATAAGGAGATGAATTCACTGGTGTGATTCTTTGTTATTTTATCTTCACCCAGAAATGTAATTAAGCAGCAAATCATATTACTTTGATTACAGAGACAAAGTATGTCAGAAATGGCATTATTACTGCAAAATTATAGAAAACACAGACTCCAGTCCCACTTCTAATTTATCACAATAGTGATAAAAGGTCTAACTGCCCCTAAACACTGAAATTGGATGAGAGTTATCAGCATTTTGTTATTTATAAGCAGAAGTGTTTTTTTTCACCCTTGTGGAATTAATTATATAATTTATGATGTATCTTCACTGCTTTTGATGGTAGTAGTATATATAACAGTAACATTATTTGCTGTTCTGCTTGGAAGAACTTTTCTCAAGCTCTTATAGGCCTATGAATTCACAGGATAAACTTACAAATCACACAAGTAGTGTTTCTGATTAAGAAAATGAGGTACAAGTTCAAAGGTTATGCAGTTCAAGTTTATGAAGCATTTCTCAGGAATAAAAAAAAAACCAAAAACACCACCACCCACTTAATTTCACATGCCTCCCCACCCTGAGCCTCTGGGACATAGTAAAATCACTGGGGTATACTCTCTTACTCTTATGAGATCTGCTATGAGATGTGCCCTTTTTGTTCTTATTCAAGATAGCCCCAGACACCAACATCTGCCTGGAAGTGGCTTCAAAGTATACTTAACTTCTTGTATACTACTTTCTCCTCTGCCAGCCCACCCAGGGGGCACCTCAAATGCCTCCCATGCTCAGAGCTTTGGAAACAAACCACAGACTCCAGCAGTGACCCTCTGATCAGCTGAGGGGACTTTATCACCTGATATTTTCCTTTTAGGTGCTTTTATCTTGTTAAAGCAACCAGGATCATTTTATGAGGCCATTCTCAGCTCACATATTGTTGTCCCAGGGGAGGTCTCTTTCCTCTTTTAAGACTTCCTAATGTCATTCTTCCTTCTCAACCCTTGCCCTAGCACTTCAGTACAGTGATCTGATTCTTCCAGGATCTTTGTGGCAGGAGAGAAAAGGGAAGAACCTTTCTTTTTTAGGGTAAGAGCAAGAAGAAAGGCTCAGAGCTAGGAGTGACATCGAGGCTGACAATGTCGAATTTTACTCTAGCCCTGTGATTCTGGAAAACAGCAAATGTTAAAGAATTCCCCCTTCCTTTGTGTTCTAGGAAATAGTGAACTGCAAAAAATCACCCCTCTCCATCTGACTTAAATAGGACTCACAGATGTCCCCTCCTTTCCCTATGACAAGCCCAGAGGCAGACTCTCCAAATTTCCATTCTTCGCCTCATAAATGATTAGCTGAATTACTACTTGTTCCCATTGGTTAATCAGAATAATACTTGCTACCCAAATTTGTTAAATTCCTCTCTTTCTCCTGGTCCCTGAACTTTGACATATGCTCAGCCCCAGCCAGCACACAACCCCTCCTTAAAGTTCCCTGCCAACTATAGGGTGGCCTTGGGGTAAAACATTTCTGATCTACTGTAGTCTGTCAGGCTGTCCTCTGTCCCACTTTCCCAAACCTGGTTCCTTCTAGCCTTGTTTGGTCCTCTCTATAGAAAAAAACTGCTGCCTAATGTTTGAGATACTTCCAGATCTCATGCTCAGAATGTTCTACCCATTACAACAGTCTGTTTCTGCCATCTTACCCTTTATTGGTATCTCAGGCCAAATTAAATGCCTAGACATTTCTTTCCCAAAAAATCAGTCTCTATTTTTCTCTCTTTCACACACACACACACACACACACACACACACACACACACCCCTGTAGAAAGACTCCAGTATGGCTATTTACCTTTCTCTAATAAGAGAACAGGTGTGATGATTGGTGAACTACTGATAAGTAGTTTACCATTGAAAAGCAAAGTTTTCTTTATATATGAATTTCTATCTGCCTTTGGTCTTCACTCAAATTGCTCGGCAATCTCCAACCCCTTATTGAGATGTAGGTTTTATATAGACGTGTCTTTCAAAAGCCATTGGTAAAGCCAGTCAGTTTAACTCAGAGGAAAAACAAGCTTAGAAAAATGTAAGCAATCCTTGTTTTAGTTGCTTCTTTTCTCTCTCAGTAAACAAAGCATGCATTTGCTAAAAAAAACCAAACTGCCATATTTGACTGAATAATTTATGATAATTTTATATAGAATAAGCAATGCTTATTCTAAAATGGTATTGTTGTGGGGTTTTTTTTTCATTGTTGTTGTTATTGTTCTTATGGAGGAAGGTTCATTCATGTGCTTTAAGTTAAAAAAGTATTTGTTTTCTTTAGCACACATTACTAGCTATGGCCTATATAGACTTTCAAGGTTTAAGTCTTTTCAAATGAAATTTGAAGGACCACTATTCTTTCCTATCAGAGTAAAACACATTCAAAATCCTAATAAATCTATTTCTTTAATATGCCACTTAAAATATAATAGTGCAAACAAAAACACATAATGGGTTCCTCTTGAGAGAAAGGAAAATGTATTCACTTCTGATGAAAGATCGTTTGATAATTCACTGTTGGCTTCACCACTTGATTTATATCATCTTCTCATGTTAATTTGTTTTTAATTTTTTTCCTGCATTCTAAGGTTTTTCTCATTTCAGTGACATATACGTGACGGATGAGGTTGATGAACTACAAAAGTAAAGATTGTAACTCAGAGGAGAAACTTAAATTATTCTGCAGTCCCATAGAATCTGTGCAAGAAACCGAGAAGTCTGGATTTTCAAGGGCTTGATCATAGTATTTTCAAAACAAGTGATGAAATCAACAACAGAAAAACATTAAAACTGAGTATATTTCTTTAGCCGATACTAAATGACTCCCTGGAGTGTATTTTTTCCAAATCTTCAGCCAATTTAATTGTATATTCCAGAAGTGATGGTGAAGTTATAGAAGTGCTATAAAATCCATTCTTTATTATAGATATTTAATTTCAAAATGTATTCCTTTTATAAACTTGATTTTAATCTAGGAAAAAGTAAATAACTTATTTAACTGTCTTCAGTTAAGGAGGGAAGCAGAATAGATGACAGTGCCTCAAGGTGAAACTCATTGTTTTTAAAAATAATGCCTAATGCCTTTACAAGTATGGCCCATGTACATTCATATGGAAGCTCAACTACTTCATTCCTATTCTGTTTTCCACCAGTCAAGTTAGAAACTACTTATTGTATCATTTTTATTTATTCTGTCTCAGTAATGGGAAATATGTTTTGGTAATCTTTTTTTATCCATGATTAGATTGCATTAATGTATTTCATGTATTTTCTCAATTGACCTTTCTTTTTTGTTGTTGTTGTTTTTGAGACAGTCTCACTCTGTTGCCTGGGCTAGAGTGCCATGGCATCAGACTAGCTAACAGCAACCTCAAACTCCTGGGCTCAAGCAATCCTACTGCCTCAGTCTTCCGAGTAGCTGGGACTATAGGCATGCACCACCATGCCCTGCTAATTTTTTATATATATTTTTAGTTGTCCAGCTAATTTATTTCTATTTTTTTTTTTAGTAGAGACAGGGTCTCACTCTTGCTCAAGCTGATCTTGAACTCCTGAACTCAAACAATCCACTCGCCTCAGCCTCCCAGAGTGCTAGGATTACAGGCATGAGCCACCATGCCTGCCCTCAATTGACCTTTAATTTAAAGCTATACTCTTTGCAAAGATGAATGATTTGGGGGTATGGGCCTAGCTGGAAGGCTGGCATTCCAGCCCCATCTTCTAGGGTAATTAAGGGTTATTGTGTATCAGTTTGCTTATGTATAAAATGGAATTCTAATGGAGATGAAACTGAATCATATATTTAAAGCATCTAATGCTGGGGAATCATTACTTTATTCTTCCATGTTTGGTACTTAATTATTTCCTTCCCCAAAGTGGATGCTAGAAAAAGTCCTGGTCCTCTTTTCAGAGAAAGTTCAGCTCATAAAAAGAAAACCAAGGCAATTCATTTTTTTTCTTACAAGTGCATTCTTCCTTATACTTCCTCTGCATATACTCAAAGCAATTTTATTCTATTACAATACTTTGGGGAAGTAAATTACTCAGAAATAGGTAGTAATAGGAATACTTTGGGTAGTAAAATCCTTAGGAATAAATCAGTTTAGTTAATTTATTAATAGCATCCCTGGAACAATTCTTGTGTTCAGAGCTCTAGACTGGAAGCTTTTGGCTTGTTTGCTTATATGAAAGGATCCTTAAGTTGCAACTACAGCAAGGTATGGCAAATACTATTCCTGTTAAATGGTTAGCATTCTCTTAGCCTTATTGTGGGCATTTCTATCAAGCACCTGGCTATGACAGCTTACAAGTGGAGATTCTGTACAATCTGTAACATTATGCAATGTCTTCAAAATGTATGCTTGTGCTGGAAGTCCTAGCCAGAGTGATCAGATAAGAGAATGAAATCAAGGGCATCCAAATGGGGACAGAAGAGGTCAAACTATTGCTTTTCTCTGATAACATAATCTTATATCTAGAAAAAACCCAAAATTCTTTCATGGAACTACTGGAATTGATAAATTCAGCAAAGTCTCAGGCTACAAAATCAATGTACAGACATCAGTAGCATTCCTATATGCCAAGAAAGGTCAAACTGAGAACCAAATCGAAGACTCAATACCCTTCATAATAACAATGAAGACAGTAAAAATACCTAGGAATACATTTAACTAAGAAGGTAAAAGACCTCTACAGGGAGAACTATGAAACACTGAAGAAGGAAATAGCAGAGGATATAAACAAGTAGAAAACCATACCATGCTCGTGGGTCAGCAAAATCAACATTGTTAAAATGTCTATACTACCCGAAGTGATCTACAGATTCAATGAAATCCCTATTAAAATACTAACATCATTTTTTGCAGATTCAGAAAAAATAATTCTATGCTTCGTGTGAAACCAGAGATGACCCCATATAGCAAAAGCAATTTTAAGCAAAAGAACATATTTGGAGGGATCAATTTGTCAGACATCAAGTTATACTGTAAGGCTATAGCAACTAAAACAGCATAGTATTGGCACAAGAACAGAGACATAGACCAATGGAACAAAAGTGAGAACCTATATATAAAACCATACTCATATAGCCATCTAGTCTTTTATAAAGCACACAAAAATATACATAAATATATTCAAACTAATTTCTTGCATGTTGGTCTCCTGCAAAGTTTCATGGAAACTTCCAATAAACAAGTGCTTGAGGCAAATCATGTGTGTAGATTGCTGCAATGGTGAATAAGTTACCTCCCCACCATATCATATTAGCTATAGTAGTACAGATGGATGCTAGTCCATGATTAAGTCAGGAGAGGAGGTGGTACCCCCCAAACCAAGACAGCTGAGGTGGTAGGTCATGCCACCAGCCAAAATGCCAAATAGCTGCACCCACAAATGTTGGACCCCTGATCTTGGCAAGGAGGAGATTGCTGCTTCAAAATGGTACATCTTAAAACCACACAGGATATGAGCTGTGGTCTCTCATCCAAGTTTGATGACCATCCTGGTTAAAGTACAGTGGATAACAGCAAACCCCATACTTGCTACTATTACTTCATGAATATTATCTGATAAATTCTTTGCTGTGTAGAATTGGTATGTGTGAGGTCTAGTTATTTGCCTTTTTAAATGAAAATATAAAAATATAAAATATAATAAAAATGTGATATATTTATATATACCTATATTGATTTATCAAGAACTTACTATTCATTAATCTTTCAATAAATACTTTTTGAGGCTAACTGTGTGCCATAAACTACGTACAACACATACACAGCATTGGGAAACAGGCAGAAAGCAAGAATGGGGTTTGGGATTAGGATGTCTAGGTATGTCTAGGTTAGAGTCCCAGTGTGGGTAGTAACTGGTGGTATAACTTGAGCAAGTTACACTCTCTAACTTACATTTTTTTGTTCCATAGAATGAATTTGTTTGCAAGGTTGTCATGGGGATTAATGAATACGTATGACTAGTACCTAATATGTTATTAATATGACAACTAGAGTATTCCACTTTGGTCAATTTTTCACCACACTTTTCCTTTATAAAGAATCCTAGTAATCAAGACATATAAATGAATCCTTCATTTCAAAAACACAAATGATTAAGCAAAAAATTGTGAGAATATTAGATCCAGATTAAAAAAAAAAACTCTTTACTAACCATGGGGGGAGGGGTGCCTCTTACTGAAATAGTCTATTGAAGCACAGATACATAAAACTAAAATGGTATTTACAAATAGCCTCTTCTAAATTCACACTAATAATTATTAATTATTAGGCCATTTGTTTCAGTGGGAAAAATATCAAATCTCAGTGACTTAAAAAGCATACAAAATAAAAAGCTTCTCAAGAAACCTCTTCACACACAATTTCATAGAACACATCTAAATAAGTCAGTTGTGTGGGTGGGTTGCTAGGGAATGCTATAGTTTAATGTACTTATGTGATAGCTTTGAAAGCATGAATCCATGTAGAAATTAAATTATAAGAATTAGGTGGTCAAATCCAGCCACAAGCATACATTTTTTTAGTTTTTTTAAATTTTGTTTGTATAATTATGTTTATATGTGTTCATAAGAGTTGCCATTGTTAACACATCCTATTGATATCATCTATTTAATCCCTCTTCAAGTTCATTTTTCTTTTTCATTTCATCTCTTTTGGGGCAAATGTATAAGATTTCAAAGAAGAAAAAGATTAATGCAGGAGAATAGCAATGATAATGATTACAATGATAAGACAGTATTAGTATTGGAATGACCTTTGCTTACAACTTTTGTGCCAAGCAAAGCCTAATTTGTTAAGGAGTCTAGATGGAGTGAACAGTTATCTACCTGGTATGGTGTAAGACTATCAGGGAAACTTCTTTGTTCCTTACACACTCCCTTTTTCATTGACTACATTTTGCAAAATCCTAAAGTAAAAGATTGTTCTGTTTAATTAAAGGCTTAAAATGACAGTTCTCCTGGGAGGGCTTACTGTGAGCAACTGTCAATCCCTTTTATGTAAAAAAATTTCTGAAAAGTTAATAAGAAAAGGAATTTAGAGGGGGCATTGGCAAGGAGAGTCTCTCAAGTTAGTGCATAATAGAATACGATGGTGAGGGCAGCCATTCAGTAGGAAAGTGTAGATGATATCATTAAGGACACATTGCCTTTTCACAGTTTTCACTATGCCCAGTGCTGCTCTACCCTATGACTTACCAAGTGGCAGTGCTTATTCTATTTTTAAGTTTACTCTATATATAGGTTCAACATCTGGATAATCATTGAAAATTTCAATCAGGGTCTCAATATATTTGGGCATTTAGAAATAAATGGTAATCAACTATTGTTCTTTTAACCTTCTTTCTAGATGGAAAGAATCATAATCTCAAATGATATTCCAAAATCACCCTGAGCATTTTAACTTAATCTATTTGAGAAAAGAATAAACCTGGAAATGATAAAATGAATAACTTTTCCTTTAAACTGAATATCATGGATAAAACTGTGGAGTTATCTTGTTTGGCTAAGATTACATATAATTTTGGTACTACTGTGTACCCCAGGGGAATATGAAGGCAGCATATGAATTTGTTTATATTCTATTGCTTTTCATTCAATGAAGTCAATAGGTAAAAAAGTAGTGTGAGAGAGATATTGTATACATTGTGCTAAACAATTTGTTGTATTTTCTTACTTGGTCTTTCTTATTTAGGCTGCCTCTATTTTTTTAAAGGCATGATATGAGTGTGTTAATCATTTGCTTGGATGAAATAAAATCCGCTAACAATTACCTAGGCAAAACCTGGAGCAATCTTGGTGTATCTTATGAAACCCAAGGACAAGAAGTACAGCTAAGGCCCTGCAAGAAACTAAAACTAAGAGCAACCAAACCAAGGCAATCAAGACAGCCCAGAAACCAAGGCAACCAACTTACCGGCATCCCTCCTTCTTTTTGAGTCCACGTAAGCTTTTAATTCTATTTCCCCTGCACCTTACTCTTCTGCAGCTAGGTTTTCACTGCTTGCTCAACAAAGCTGGTAGGTAACCATAATTGTATTCAGAGTCCAGCACCCTAAGCTAATCGGAATCTGTTGCAATTAAAAATTCTTGAGAGAGTGAATCTGATTGTCCTAACCTGGATTGGGTTTTATTTATTTGTAATCTCATCTTTTTAACATCACTTGAGCCAATTTTTAAATTATTAAGGAATTTTCCAAGTTACCTCATCTTCATATTTGTCTACATATATTTTGAAGTGCAAAATATTTAAATTGGTGCATGATGTCATTACTGGATATTTTCTTCTAAGCCACAAGTAGTCATCCTGATAATATTAGGACCATTGGTATTTGTTCACATTTATAGGTGTATATTCCAGTCTCCTCAGAATAAATAACTATTGCATGGCTTTTTAAAGTTATTTTTAAATTACTTATTTATCATAGCACTCAAACCATGAAATTGTGAGGTAAAATCTCAAAATTAAATCTCTAAATTTTTTGCGGCACCAATTTACTTCATTCTAACATTTTTACGAGATTCAATCATGTCTCTTCAGTGTAAAAATGAAATATTTTTTAGAAACCCACAATATTCCTACTCATAAGATTTACTCCAGTTATCACTCTGAAACAAGTTCTCTGTGCACTGGTTACCAACTTGTTGGAGCCTGGTGAGATAGAACACCCATGCACACAAGTTATAGGACGTGGGTTTATTACTTATAGGTAGGCAACAAAGGGCAACAGAAATCTAGGTTGCATTTCAAGCGAGTTACCCAAAGCTCAGGAAAGCTTTCCAGGGCAGATGGAGTCTTATCTGCACATGCCCCACTTGCACTGCAGCTGAGGGACCCTGGAAAGCAACCCATTCTGGGTTTTATACCCTGAGGCCATGAGCATCACTGGGCTACATGGGGGACTGGAACAGAGCTAGTTTTTTTCTGTCCAGTCCCTCTCTATCTCGTGATGTTACACGAGCATATTGTACAGTCATTGCTGACAACTACAAGTGAGAAAGGAACTGGGTCGGTCCAAGATCACCTGGAGAACTATCCTGTAATTATCTCTTTGTGAAGATATTACCTGGCCAGGTGTGGTGGCTCACCCCTGTAATCCTAGCACTCTGGGAGGCTGAGGGGGGCAAATTGCTAGAGGTCAGGAGTTCCAAACCAGCCTGAGCAAGAGCGAGATCCCATCTCCACTATAAATAGAAAGAAATTAATTGGCCAACTAATATATATAGAAAAAATTAGCTGGGCATGGTGTGCATACCTGTAGTCCCAGCTACTTGGGAGGCTGAGGCAGGAGGATTGCTTGAGCCCAGGAGTTTGAGTTGCTGTGAGTTAGACTGACACCACGGCACTCACTCCAGCCTGGGCAACAAAGTGAGACCCTGTCTCAAAAAAAAAAAAAAGAAAAAGAAGAAGATATTACCTCACAGTTTCCCTTAGGAAGACCCCTTGCACAACAAAAAAGACCCCCCTTACTACTCCCATAGTTTATGCAACATACTACAGATTGCATATTAATGTTTTATAACTGATTAATTTTCTTTCTTGGATTAGGCAATCAGCTTTGACAGGGCAGGAATTCCATCCTGTTCAAGTCTATATCCTCAGAGCCTACTTAGTACAGTAATAAGTACTTCATATAGTAAAAGTCAGCAATCACTTAGAAATAGCTAAGTGTAGCACAAATGGCTATAGTATTATGATGCTCTGAGGCAAAATGGAGTTCATCCTATTTATAGTTAACAGATCTACCCAGAAATGCCTCACTATTTACCTCAGATTTACTCTTTGCTGTAAATTTTTATTTTCATATATTTTAAAGTCTTTCAAAACATGTGGAAAACTCAAAAAAAGAGTAGTTTTTATATGAAACAATACAAATAACACTATCTTTATGAAACAAAAGTGTGTGAAAATTTGTGTGACAACTGAGATACTGACATGTGGTATAGATTAATCTATTACCACCTTTGGAGTAAAGGGAAGTAAGGAGTTAACTACTTGGTTTCAAAAATATGAGCACATGAATCACATTGTTTTTGACCCAAACTTCTCATGCTAACCCATGTTATATTTTTAGAAATTACCTTATAATTTTCTTAAGTTATAATGACAGGTCAGAATATTTTAATGGAGAGAGAGAGTAAAAAGAAAAGTGAAGTATAATTGTCACATTTTAAGTCACAAACTTGGCAATTAAATATATTACACTGTATTTCAGTTTAACAACAATTTCTTTCCACCTTTCTCAATATCTTTGTGGTGCATATCTAGACTTGTTGGCTTTGTCTCCACCCCCAACTCCTATTTCTGTCACTGGATGATGTTTGGGCACAGTGAGAACATACCTAACCGTATGTTGTTCTTATTTGCTGGCTTCTGTACCTCCAGTGAGTTGTAGATACATCATCTTGCCTACTTGAAGACCTTGGCTTCTGTCCTTGTATCTTTTGTAAAGTGTATAAATATTCTCCTTCTGTGCAAGAAAATTCCTGGGGATCTGGTCATCTCCTTTTCCAGGACACACCTCAATTATTTCTAGGATTCCTGACACTAGGATATTAAAGTCTCTGGCTTTGGGCTATCTACCACATACCCACTAAGCTGTCACACAAAAACATCTGGATGTCTTTCATACTTTTTCCAGGCGGTGGAGAATGTATGGGTCGTCTTCTCAGAATCTGTTCTCCACCTAACATGTCATGCCATCATTAGTACTTTGTGGTAGCCACCTTGTGTTATCACCCCTTCTTCAAGGGGTTTTGAAATTTTATAATCTATAAAATGAAAACAAGAAAAAATTTATCCTTCGTTTATATTGATGTTTCTAACAACCTCTCCTCAAATTTTGATTCTAAGGCAAAAACAGTACTTGCTACCTTTTGCTTCCAATTACTCCGTATCTTCCTTTCCTTCAGAACCAGAAGTTCCTCTCTGATTAGAAGTATATTGCATTACATTATGCTATGGACTAAACTGTCTTCCCCCCAAAAGTCCTATGTTGAGGCCCTAACCCCCAATTTGACAGTATTTGGAAATGAGGCTTTGAGGAGATAAATCCATTTAGATGAAGTTATGGAAGTGGGGCCCTTATGATGGGATTGTGCCATTATAAAAAGAGACATGAGGGAGCTTGCACAGGAGCAATCTCTCTCTCTTTCTCTCTCCCTCTGCCAGGTGAGGATACAGTGAGAAGGAGGACACCTGCAAGCTAGGAAGAGGGCCCTCCACAAGGCCCTGAACATCCTGGCACCCTGATCTCACACTCTAGTTTTCAAAACTGTGAAAAAATAAATTTCTGTTATTTAAACCACCCAGTTTATGGTATTTTGTTATGGCAGCCCAAGATGACTAAGACACATTTGATCCTTCTTCTTCCTGCTATATGGCTTAACCTTAATCAGAAGGATTGTTGGGGATCAGTGCAATTTACCAAGAAGGAGAACTATACTGGAGGTATTTACAAAACATTATCACTGTTACGGATAAAAGAACACAAAAAAGACCTCAAATTCAGAGGACAAATAATAAGAAATCAAATATACATTGTTTTTCAAACTATCAGTTACAACTTGTATTGGGTTGTGAAAACAATTAGGGAGGTAACAGTCAGCCCTTTTCGTAGTGATTTAGAATAGAACAAAATAGAATAGAAAACAATAGAGTTTGCTTTGTGAGAATATTTATTAGTTAGTTGTATGCATGAGAACATTTGTCTCATGTATGTATACTAGTTAATAATATAAAATGCATGTCTTTCTGATACATGAGCATAATACCCAGCAGGCTCAAAAAGATGAGGATAAAGCTAAATCCTCTCATTCTAAGTCTTTACTGCCTTCAGTAAAGAAACATTGGCAGCAATGTCTTCTGAAAGAGATCATGACCTTCTCAGAAAATAGTGCGGGGTTTTGTCTTCACAGTTTCTCTCCTTTCCATGATACACACCTCAAGTTTATCTGCATTGGATTTTGACATTAATGGTGACACTTCCAGGGGTATTATTTTTATTTTAGTTCTTTGATATTTTATAGATTTTTTTCAAACTTTAACCCCCTTTCCCAATCTAAATCTGACTCCTTTAATGGTCACTGGACAAACTGGTTTAGCTTCTCCAAGAAATCATTTTCCTTATTTGGAAAATAGGGGAGTTGGACTTGTTTTTATTTAATGTCCATTCCAGCCCTAAAAATGCTTTTGCTTTCCTTGTATATTAGAGGATTGCATCTATGACAGTTTTTCCCAACTGGGGATTTTATGATCAGTCTCTCAGGATCTGAGGACACATTCTAAAGGATAATAAACCTTTAAAATTTGTTGCTATAAATGTGTTTGTTTTCTTAGACTTGGGAACCCAGGCACACTTTCTGGATGAGTGGCTTATGCAAAGGGTCAGAGAATTCCAGTCGTTTAGTATAGCTGGAGCATATTATATTGTTTGCAAAGACACAGGATGAGGCAAGAGATATAAGGAGGGGCTGGGTCATGAGCAACCTTGTAACCTAAGACTTTGGACTTTATCCTGAGATCAATACATCTATAAGTAGAGTGGGGGGTGAGTCATGGGGAAGAGTATAGTGGTGGAAGAGTATAGATGGAGTGAATTAAAAGGGAGAACAAAATCAAGTCATTTGGCCAAGTGCGGTGGCTCACGCCTGTAATCCTAACACTCTGGGAGGCCGAGGCAGGCGGATTGCTCGAGGTCAGGAGTTCCAAACAAACCTGAGCAGGAGCGAGACCCGTCTCTACTATAAATAGAGAGAAATTAATTGGCCAACTAATATATATAGAAAAAATTAGCTGGGCATGGTGGCACATGCCTGTAGTCCCAGCTACTCGGGAGGCTGAGATAGCATGATTGCTTGAGCCTAGGAGTTTGATTGCTGTGAGCTAGGCTGATGCCACAGCACTCACTCTAGCCTGGGCAACAAAGTAAGACTCAGTCTCAAA